TATATATTATTTATTTATTTATTTATTTATTACGTACAATAAAAAAGGTTTCAAATTTAACAATATTCTTATTTGTTAATCCTTGATAACAAAAAATACGTAATAAACGTTAACTATTAATTGTTCTCAAAATAGGTTTTGTTTTTATTGTCAATAAGTCATAATAAGTGACTTTAATTTCTGATTAATTAGTCGTAGATGTCATTAGATTTTAGATCTATTGCTATCATTGCATTTGTAAACTAGATTGCTGATCGGCCATTGGTCATACACAGCATTACTCGATTATTTAATAAACTCATGGCAATTTTGAAACAAAATACACTTATTTTTCTTTCTCACCCAAAGAAGCAAAAAAAAAAAAATTAATTCTTTTCTGTTATGACGCGTACCAGGCAAACTATGGGAAGTTCCAAAAGAGTTAAAAGAGATAATCAAAATAGTAGTTTGAACAAAGCACGGCGTGATGACGATAATGAGGAAGGAATTTATACGGTTGAAAACATATTAGCACATAGACTATCAACAAATGTATGCTTTTGGTTTATTTGTTTTATTTATTCATTAACTTTTATTTTTATTAATCATATTTTTTCGTGTTTATTTTTTTTTTTCATTTTCATTTTCCTGTAGGGACATCTTGAATACAAAGTAAAATGGGCAGGTTATGATGAAAGTGAATCGTGTTGGGTAAACGCTACTGATGTGTATGAATCGATCAAACTTCATTTTATTGGTTTACTCAATCATTACCTTTACTAACGCGTCTAAACTTAAAGGTTTGCACCATATTTTGTTACCCGTTATTGGAATGACCAAAAGATGAAATCATCTGCACAATCGTCCAAACAAAGTGTTAAAAATAATCAATCAAATAAAGAAATCAGTTCGGATATCAAGGATAATCAAGATCAAGCTCAAATTAATTCTAAAAGGCTGAGCTTGAAGAGAAATAAAACGAAAAATAATAGTCAAGTTAATATCTCTTATGATAACACAACTCCAATGTGTTTGAGTAAGGTTGATAAAATAAGCAACGTAAATTCAAATAATGACATCTCTTCAGATAATGAGACTTTTGATAATACGGATGAAAACAATTTTATGAGCACAAATATTATCTCTTCAAAAATTGATAACCTCAATACTGAGGTTGAGATTGAAACTACTAGTTTTAATAAGAATGTGAAAACAGATAAAGATACTACAAAAGTTAATGATGAAACAATAATCGAAGATGACAATTCATACATTATTGTTTCCGAAGATGATCCACTGAATTTGGTAGAGGTTGTTCTTGATATGAAACCTATTGACGCTCAACTGCAACAAAAAAACTTTGAGAAAGATATTACACAACTTAATTTCAGAGCAGAAAAGAATTGGGAGAATTATGCGACAGTTATTGATATCAAAATTGACCCCGGTAGTGGGGATCTTATGTGTGTTCTAAAATGGTAAGTTTTTCTAATCAATGCATATAGTTTGTTGATGTGATTGAGATTTGTGCTAGGAATGAAAAATATCTGATAAGTTTTTCTTTCAGGATTGATGGAATCAGAACACTTCATCATTGTAACAAAGTTCATCAACGGTGTCCTCAAAAGGTATGTAAAAATTTCGTTCTGAAAATAAATTTTTAATGTTATTTTTTCATCATAGTGATCAGAATTTTATACTTTCTATAGTTGCTCAAATTTTATGAGTCACATCTTCGAATTAACCAAACTAATGAACATTAGAAGTGATCTCCGATTTATTCTTCTGCCTTTTGTATAATTTCTGCCTTTAGTAAATGTTACATATGCTAAGCTGGTTATTTATATAGAGATGGTAATAAATGTGAAGGTTAACATAAGGTTGGGTCAAGTATGAGGCGGTATACGAGGGTGCCAAATGAAAACCTGTAATTTGTAAATTTGTTTTCTTGGTGAGTTTTGCATTACATGATTTGATCGATTCATACACATCAGTAG